ATCATAATTAGCAGTACCGTATAGTACGAGTATCGGTATTAGTATTAGTATCAATATATATCAATAGTACTATTATTATTACTATCAATATTAGTATTATATTAGTATTGTTATTAGTATTAATATTAGTATTAGTATTAGTATTAGTATTAGTATTAGTATTAGTATTAGTATTAGTATTAGTATTAGTATTAGTATTAGTATTAGTATTAGTATTAGTATTAGTATTAGTATTAGTATTAGTATTAGTATTAGTATTAGTATTAGTATTAGTATTAGTATTAGTATCAGGATTAGTATCAATATGGATATCAGTATTGGTATTATTATTGGTATTGGCGTATACATCTTATCTCTGTTGCAATATTTATAAGTTGTGTTGTTGTTTTTGAGTAATGTGCATCACTAATTGAATGTTGTTAGTGATAAACTTGCAGGTTATTTGAGTATCTATTGTGCTACCTCTATGCTACTGTGTTTGTTGTTAAGTTAGTGATTTTGCAGAGGATTCACATAGTGTAGTAGATTGCATTCCATGAAATAGAGTTATACCATATGTTTTAAATTATTTCACTTAATCTTCATATCGTGATTTGCGCCATTCGCGTATTTTTCCTTGTAATATTTAATTGAATTTTATATGTTACAACTCTGAATTAAGAGATATTTTTTTATTTCCTTCCATTTTGTTTTACTTCAATTGGTGTTGTTATAAAGAGATAATCGTTTAAATATTATTATTTTTCACATTTTGAAACTCATATCCGTGCAACGCACGGGTGAAGTACTAGTACTATATATGTTTTATTAATTAACTTGTTATTGGTAAACTAGTCATTTTCTATTAATTTAAGTTATATTACTATAGGTATAATTCATAAATTAACAAATCATATAAAGTAATTTAAGTTAAAATAAAAGAAAAACGGATTTTTGCCACTGAAGTTTGACCCGCCTTCAAGGTTTGATCGCCTCAAACCACATCGGACCGCCTCGAACCGCCTCAACCCGCCTCAGGCCGCCTAAAACCGGCTCACAGGCAAAAATCTGATTTTTCATACTTTTACACTAAAATCGTAAAGGTTTGGGACCGCCTCCGCTTCGGAGATCGATTAATCAGCCGCCTCGTCCGATTTTATAACACTACTCAAAATTACTATTCTTGTTTTAATCTTGAGAGTCCACAAACCCCTTCCCCCTCTTATGTTCCGCCACTTGTAATATATATATATATATACATATATATATATATATATATATATATATATATATATATATATA